TCCAGCCACGAACATTTCTAGGAACGAGGGACTGAGCAGTCCCAGAGACAGGCCTACCTCGAGTGGGCAGAGCCACGGGTGGGACTCACGCCCTGGCCCAGGAAGCTCCGTGCCGGTGGGCCCAGTGCCCAAAGGCAGAACAGGGGGATGTGGGGATTCGGTCCCAGCAGGTGCCATCCTGCGAGGTCAGTGCTCCTTCCCGGCCACCTGCCCACGTCCCAACCGTCACCATGTGAGGATTCTGTCCTGACTTAGTGGGTTTGGCTTCCACGCCTCACCCCCACTCCCTCCCCTGTGGAAGGTAAGTGCAGGCTGGGCATCCCACCGTGGACACTAACGGGGCTACGCGTGTCCCTCAGCACACAGGCCGCATAACCCAGGCCACGCCAAGTGTATTTTACTGGCTTAGGTGTTAAGTTAAATACGAGGGCCACGGAGGCTTTAATTTCTTCAGCGGAACGGTTGCACGGGTTTGGTCACAGTGCCCCTGGCCGAGGCTCGCTGCAGAAACCACAGTGCAGAGTTTCCCCGGGCCCTGGCGCCCGGCCGGTCACTTTCATGCCGTGGCCCCTTTCCCTGTGTTAGGCTGGGAAGCAGTAGACCCTAAACGGCAACGACGGATAATCAAGGATGCGTCGTACGACGTGCGGCTGGCCTTACTGGTGTTTCCGGGTCACCGTCTTGGTGGCGGAGGCTCGTGGAGGTTTAGTGGTGTTGAGATAGACGTGACAGAAAGCGTTCTGTGTCCATTTCAGCGCAGCCATCCTGCCGTCCTTGTGCAGACTTTCCCCCCCCCCCCGGCCCCCTTCCCCGCCTCCCCAGCCCTGGCGCCCCCGTTCCAGGCTCCGCCCCTGAACGTGACTGGACTAAGTCTCTCACAGAAGTGGGCCGCGCGGTATTTGTCCTTGGTGATGGCTTACTTCACTCGGCGTGACGTCCCCCGGGTTCGTGCGTGTGGACGCTGAAGCCTCTTTGCAAGGCTGGGTGACATTCCACTGTATGGCTAGAGCACATCTCAACGCCGCTGCTCCCGACTTACCTTTGCGGACGTGAGTGCCTCTCTCAGGGACCCTGCTGTCAGTCCTGTCGGGCGTCGGAGGTGGGCTTGCGGGGTCACGTAACAGTCCTATAGTAACTTTTCCGGGGACCGCGGGCTGTGTTCTAGAACAGCTATGCCGTTTGGCAATCCCACCACCGGGGCGGACGGCTTCCGATCTCTCCACATCCTCAGAGGCACTAGTTTCTGGTTTTCTGAGAGCGGCCACCCTGACAGGTTGGAGCAGGGATCTGGTGGATCACAGACCTTGGTCACCGCAGTAGGCCCTGCCCTGGGAGCCCTGTCCGCCGGCCACACCTCCCCTCCCACACCTCCCCTGCCTATCCTCCCTCACCCATCCTGCCTCCCATCCCCCGCCCCCCCCTCCCCTGCCCCAAACCCTCCCCCGACCTCCCCTGTCCTCCTCCCCTGCTCCGCCCTCACCTGCCCCCACGCCCTGCCCGACCTCACCTGTCCATCCTCCCCTGACCCACCCTCTCCTCTCCCCCTCCCCTATCCCGCCCTGCACTGCCCCCTCCCCTGTCCCTTCTCCCTTGCCCCACCCTCTCCTCGCCCTTCCCCTGTCCCATCCTCCCCTGCCCCCCCCTCCCCTGCCCCAACCCCCCCCCCCCCCCCCCCTGCCCCGCCCTCCCCTGCCCCGCCCTCACCTGCCCCGTCCCCTGCCCCGCCCTCTCTTGCAGAAGAACGAATACCTGTTCACTGTGGTGACGGAGGAGTCTGACGGGCTGTTGCTGGGTCTGCGGTACTCGCCCACCAGGCTGCACTTCCTGTTCCGCAGCCGGGACGCGGCGGGGGCCTGGCAAACCCGCGTGACCTTCCGCAGTCCCGCTCTGACGGACAACCAATGGCACACGCTGGTCTTGGCCGTGTCCGAAGGATCCTTTTCCCTCACCGCGGACTGCGGCGTCCCCGCGGACATGTAGGTAGCGGGGCGCCCGGGGAGGGCCGGGTGCTGCCGGACACGGCGGGTCCAGGGCCGCGGGGCGGGCCGGCTGGCCCTGGGCTCGGGCCGTGGGCGAACAATCTTTAGGGACCATCCCCTGAAGCGGGAGCGCAGGGTCATCAGCAGGGTCGGCCACCAAACCCGTCCTCCAGAGCGGCCGCAGTGGGTGGGGGCGAGTGCAGGCGCCCAGGCCGAGTAGGTTGGACTTGGCTGGGGGCGGGGGGGGGGGGGGGACTGTGCCTTGCAGAGCAGGGTCACCATCAGGAAACACGCAGAGGAAGGTCACCGAGAGCTCAGGCACCAGAGCCAAACTGAACCTGCAGCCTGACTGGGCCTTGTGATTTTCAACACATCGTTTGGCCTAAGACCCGGTTTGCCCGTCGGGACGAGTGAATAGTCACTCTGACCCCAAATAAACACGCAGAGTAGCCCTTCTGGTAGCTTCGGCACAGCCCCAGGCACCAGCAGGGAGGGAGTTCCCTCCCTGCCCTCGCCGTCACCTGGTCACTAGGCTGGACCAGAGAGCGTCGGTCCCCATAGTCCCACCGGCTCATGACGACCATCCTGGCTCAGTGGGGCTGGTGACTCTCTTAAATCACAAATTGTCCGGTTTACATTAAAATCCATCATTATTCCAGATACTACTTTCAGGGGTAGAATCTTACTTTGCTCTGTTACTATGAAACTTATTCCATAATAAAAAGATTCTTTGCCTTTCGGACACTTTGTTTAAATCCGTCTCTACCACAAGGGCTCCCTCTGCTCCCAAGCGCATCAGGGCCTTTACCAGGGTGATGACGGTGGGGACCCAGCAGTGGGAGCAGCTCTGTGATGGGGAGGTGGAGGGGGCCAAGGAAGGGGAGGGAAGGAGCCGCGGCTACAGCCAGTGGCGGCCAAGGAGGACTCCGGGGCCTGGGGGTCGGGCGTCACAGGCCTCGTGGGCACCACGGAGGGCGCGCTGTGATCAGAGCACGGGGGATTCTGGGACGGTGCTCAGAAAGTGGCCTCACCACGGCCAGCTGCAGCCCGATGCAGGCCCGGAAGGAGCAGGTTCTTACAGGGGGAGATGCCTGGCTCATCCACCCCAGAGGCTCCAGTCAGGCCCCCCCCTCCAGCAGGCACCCACTTTCTCCCCCACCCTCGGGGTGCAGCGTCCACTTCCGCGTCAAGACCCAGCTCTGGCCACATCTGCCAACGCCTCCCAGGCCATCAGCGAGGACCCCTCCCGCCCGACACCATCTGTTTCCCCATAGGTGCGGTGGAGGGTGGGCAGGCTGGGGACTCAGTGCCGCTGGGAGCCACTAGAGTTTCCAGAGAGATGGGAGGACCCCTGAACGGACACTTCTGTGGCCACACTTTTGCAGAAGACTCTTGTCCTGGGGAAAAGAGCGCTCCTCAAATCCACGTCCTCCAGAACCCTGCAATGCAAACTTGCTTGGAGACAGAGTCTTTGCAGGTGTAATCAAGTTAAGTTGAGGTCATGACTGCAGTCGGGCGGGCCCTGATGCAGAGCCTGGTGTCCCTATAAGAAGAGGAGAGGCACAGACAAGGCCATGTGAAGACAGGCGGAGGGGGTGACGTAGCTACAAGCCAGGGAATACCAGAAAGCCCAGAGCTGGATGAGCCTCCAGAGGGAGCGGGACCCTGCAACGCCCTGACGTCAGACTCCCAGCCTCCAGAACTGTGGATAATCTGCCACCTAAGCCCCCAGTATGGGGTGTTCATTACAGCCACCCTGGGAAACTGATACCCCCGTACACTGCTTCCCCTGTCCTTTTCTGCATAAACGGGCTGTGACGCTGCTCTCCCATGGCCCTAAAGCCACCCTCAAATGTTTTCAGAATGGCTGACGTGCCCTTCCCGGCCACCCTCTCGGTGCGAGGAGCCCGGTTCTTCATCGGCAGCCGGAAGAGGACCAAAGGCCTGTTCACGGTAAGCACGGGAGGGGCTGCCTGTCTGGCCTCCCAACAGCAGTGCTCACAGAGGGGCCGTCACTACAGGCCCCGTGTCCTCACACTCTGATCCGACAGATCAGTGTGTGCCACACGGGAGCAGGGAGCCCTGGGGTACATGGGGCTCCACACTTGTGAGGTACAATTTACCACAGGGCCTTTTCACTCGCCGTTCCCTCTTCCTGGCACACTCATCCCCACTGTCACCACAGATCACACCCTGTACCGTCAGGACCCCGCCCCATGTCATCCTCCTTGGAGACCTTCCCCTACCACTTGGAGAAGATGAGCCTTGCACCCAACCCCTTCTCCTGGTTGTCTTTCCTCCATAGCCCTGACCACTCTCAGACCAGCTGTGTGTTTGCTCATTGGCTGTCTCTCCCATAGAGGGCAGGTGAGGGACCCTGTTCCATACTGTGTCCAGTTCCTAGACCCATGCGTGATATATAATAGGTGCTTGGTGAATATTTGTGGATGGCATGTTTGGATGGATGGATGGACAGATGGGTAACTGTATGGGTGGTGGGTGGACATATGGATGGATGGATCAGTGATGGACGGATAGGTGGGTGAACATAAGGCTGAGTGACAGATGGGTAGATAGATGGATGAGTGATTGATGGACATATGGGTGAATGGATGGGTGGATGGGGGATGGATAGATGGATGGATGGGTGGATGGGGGGATGGATGGATGGATAGGTGGATGGATGGGTGGATGGATGGGCGATGGATGGACATATGGG